GATAAGTCGAGTGGACTATCATCGCCGAATCAGCCTAGGAATTTATACAGTGAAGTGGCTAAAACGCAAAAAAGTGTAAAATCAATTCTCGTCATAAAAAACCAAAACCAAACTGTGCCAATTGATGCTGTGTACGAGGAGGTGACGAAAACTTTAAATCCAGCGAGCGTCGAGGCCCGTATTAATGGAACCAAGAAGATACGAGGGGGCGTCGTTATTGACTGTGACAGTGAAGACTCGTTGAAGAAAATTAAAGATGGTCTGAATGAAAAGTTAGGTAATAAATACGACATTAATGTGCCAAAAATGTTTAAACCTAGATTAATTGTTAAAGATGTTAGAGTTTGCGACTATACGAATAATGAAGAGGTTATTAAGAATATTGTGGCATTGAATGGTATTGGGGAATCCGCGATGTCTGAAATAAAAATAATCACACACTTAAAGTATTTTAATAAAATTAATTTAATTATTGAGGTAAGCCCAATGATACGAAAAATGATGTTAGAAAAGCAATTTATATTCATAGGATGGAAAAAATCATATGTATCGGATTACTTGAGAATCATTCAATGTTACAAATGCTACGGTTATGGTCACGTTGAAAAAGAGTGTAGGGGAACATTAACATGTTCTAAGTGTACCGAGGGTCATAAGTTTAATGCATGTAAATCTATTAATGATGTTTGTATTAATTGTGTAAATCATAATAAAAAACTCAGAAAGACTGTACCTGTGGATCACTCCGCTAAAAGTAAAGATGGTCCCATATATTTAAATTATTTATCAGTATTAAAACAAAGAATTGATTATGGTGAAAATTTGTAATCATTTAAAAATTGCTCACATTAACGTTAGAGCAATTCTACCTAAAATACATGTTTTAAGAAATTACATTATTTCGAGTATGTTTGATATTATAGCCATGTCAGAAACTTGGCTTACAAAACTTGTACCTGATAATATAATAGACATTGATGGATTTAGAGTAGTAAGGCGTGACAGAAAGGAAGGTAGAGGGGGTGGTATATTATTTTATGTACGTAACTCTATTAATTTTGCTATTATTGGTGATATGATAACTGTTTATTCGGAACAATTGTGGATTAATGCAAAATAAATAATCTCAATAATATTTTTGGCATAGTTTACAGACCACCAGGGTTTCTTAATTTTGACCACTTTTTGGAAGAATTCGAGCACAATGTTTCTAATAACTTATTAATATGTAATAATCTATTGTGCCTTGGTGAATTTAATGTAGATTTTTTAAAAATTGAATCAATATATACACAGCGGTTTATGTCACTTCTTCAATCCTTCAATTTGACTCAGACTATCAACGAGCCTACTAGACTTGGCAATACCGGGGCTACGCTTTTAGATTTGATAGTGTGCTCTGATTCTAGTCGTGTTTTAAACAGTTATGTTGATCCCAGCCTCGATGTTTCCGACCATTTTCTTATTAAATGTGAACTGAAGGTATTTATATCTAAACCTAAGCCCTATGTTGTCTCATACCGTGACTTTAAGAACTTTAATCGCGAATACTTTTTTAGAGAACTTTTAAATGCTCCTTTTCAGGATATTTTGTATATTCAGGACATTAATATTAAGATGAGTGTGTTCAGTGCCCTTATAGTGAGTTTATTTGACTCTTATGCACCAGTCAGGACAGCTCGCATAACGAAAAAAAAAAGGCACCTTGGATCACACAAAATATAAGATATTTGATGGAAACTCGAAACAGAGCATTAAGCAAATATAAAAAGAGAAAGACACTTCAGAATTGGGAGTATTATAGGCAGCTTCGAAATTTTACAAGTGCTACTATTCAAAGAGAAAAAAAGGCTTTTCTTGAGTATAATTTACGTAACCGCAGTGCAAAAGATAATTGGAAGCTTCTGAGAAACTTGGGTGTTTATTCCAATGATTCCAAACACATTCCTGATTCTGTGGGTAGTGCTGAGGATCTTGGCAAATTCTTTATCAGTTCCGTTAGGCCTACCACTCCCGATCCTCATACTTTGAATTTCTACTTACATAACAGGAAGAAAACAAATGCGTCATTTGAGTTCAGGATCGCTACGGTTGACGAGGTACGCTCAGCTTTTTTGTCGATCGAATCCGAAGCACTGGGTACCGATGGTATTGGATTGGCCATGCTCCTTTATTGTTATCCAGTTATTCTTCCGTACATTGCGTATATTATCAATTCATGCATTGAAACTTCCACATTCCCTTTGGGTTGGAAGTATTCATTTCTACTTCCTGTGCCTAAAGTATCCAGTATCACCAGTATGAGTGATCTAAGACCAATAAGTATCCTTCCAACCCTCTCTAAGATATTTGAGAGGGTTCTTGAATCCCAGCTGAGAGAATACATAAATAAACATAGTCTCTTGCCTCCGATTCAGTCGGGATTTCGGAAGAACCACAGTTGTACAACAGCATTACTCAAGGTAACGGATGATATTCTGGAGGCTGCTGATCGGGGTGACCTCACTGGGTTGGTTCTCTTGGATTACTCGAAGGCTTTTGATAAGTTGAATCATCAACTCTTTTTAGCAATATTAAAGTTTCTTGGGCTTGAGTGTCGCGCATTGAAACTTGTCGAGAGTTGTCTCTCAGAGAGGACACAATCTGTAAGATTAAATGGCACGCTGTCTAGTGTTCGACATATTAATTGTGGTGTCCCACAATGATCAATTCTGGGTCCATTATTCTTTATCCTCTACATATCACAGCTCGATTCGGGTTTGAGAGATTCAACGTCGCTTCGCTTATATGCAGACGACACGCGTGTGTCGTTGCAATGCATTGCAAGTGTATATGTCTTTCCAACCAGGAAAAATATTGGAAGCCAATGCCATCCTCTCTAGTGAACTTAGTATACTTCTAAAGACATCATCTAATCATTGTTTAGACATTAATCCCAATAAATGTTACGGTCTTTTATTTGGTAGAATACAGGCTAGAGACCAATATGAAAAATTGTTTCCTGTGTCTTTGGACGGAAAGAGGTTGAATAGCTGCAAATCTGCAAGGAACCTTGGTGTGATTATGGATACTCACTTAAGGTTTACTGAACATATTAACAAATGTATAAAAAAGGCCTTCATAAATTTAAAACTGATCTACAATCAACGTTACATCTTAAATCCTAATCTCAAAAAGAAATTATGTGACACCTTAGTTCTTTCACAATTTACCTATTGTGACTCACTATATGGACCGTGTATTTTAGATCATGATGCTAAACGCATTCAACGACTACAGAACTGTTGTATTTGATAGGCAGTATAAAAAAATATGATACAGGTATCACAAATAAAATGGCGGAAATTGGTTGGCTTAACATGGCTGGGAGAAGAAAATTTCATTCATACTTACTAATTTATAAGATAATCAATAATAAAAGGCCATGTTATTTGTTTGATAAAATTAAATTTAGGTATGATGAACATTCACTGGTCTTGTGGATCACTCTATACACTCTATATACTTCAAATATTCCCCACTTAAGATTATAAAAAAACCCACAATTAACTATCATTAATATGTTTTTCATATATAGTACCTTATAGTACCCCAGTACTTAAGATTATGCATAATAATCTTAGGATTGCAGATTAAATAATTTTATTTAACTATCCAAAAATTGTACCTAAATTTTCCTACACTTGTCTATACATTTAGATTAATTCTGAATATTAAAATTTAATAAATTACAAAACTTTTTATCTGCTTATGGTGTTGAAACTGGTTTGAATTTTGTCATATGAAGGGTCCAGTGGAAAAACGATGAGATTCCATTTTTTTCCGAAATCGACATTTTGACACCATGCGATAGCTTGTAACGTGAAGTACTAAAACACCAAACCTTACAGGGGATAAACAATGAGATTCCACTAAAAGCTACGGCTAAAAATGGGCAGCACTGTGGAAAAACGATGAGACTCCCACGCGCCCGAGGAAAAACGATGACGTACCCTCTATCTGCTGTTTAAATAGGTCTCTGGCGTTTATTCTCTTTGCTTTGTTCTGTTTAGTTTCTTGTTGCCATCAGCTTGTTACTATCAAGAAAATTGTTTAGAGAGAACTCTAAATGTCGTTAAAATTACTAGTTCAAACATACAAATAAAAACTATTTCATCTGTAGTTGTGAAACTTTAAATTTCGTTTTACTCAACTTTTTGAAAAATGGAATCTCATCGTTTTTCCACTGGACCCTTCATACGTTATGGTAGGTAATAAAAAAAACTGGGCAAACATTCCTTGGCTCAAAAATTTTCAGATTTTTACAAACTTATTCATATTTGCCCCAATAATACTTTATTTGCCAAGATTTTTTTAACAGCTGTTCTTGCTTTAAGCAACTCAGAAAGTTTGAAGTATTTGTTTAATCACGTGTTAATTGTTTAATCACGAATTTTTCCGCTCTTTTGGAATTTCCGGAAACGCAAACAAAAAAAAATTGCATAATACCTTTATTATAAGGTAAGTATTAAACTCCTCATAATAAATGAGGAGCTGGAGATCAATAATAAAAGTTCAAAATTACCTGCAAGATCCTTCAAATATTTCAGAATATATTGTTTTTGTCCATTTTCCCTGATAGTAGTCCTTTATCTACTTCACCATTTGGTCTGAAATATCAGCATCCAAAGGACATCCCCACGGACCCTTGATGGTCCAGGGGCTGTGCCTGTACGTGTTATTTACTGGACTATAATAAGAATATTGGACTTAAAAATAGACCTAGATCATTTTTTTTTCAATTGAGTTATTCTTAGAAGGATTATATACCAAGCTGCTGATGATGACATACACAGATGGATTTAAATTTGATATCAAAACACTTCACTTCTGAATTTCCCGTATTTTAGATACACAGACATAAAAAAAACATAAAAATACATACAAATCTAATTCTGTCAGCAAATATTATGTTAAGATAAAAACAATTCATCGATAAATAGATAAGTGTAGTATATAAGGAAAATCTAATAATTTTGAGGCACTTCAAAATCTTTTTTGTTGTGGTTAAGTCTGAAAAAAAAATTCAGAGAAATACAACAAAATGAAGTGTTTCGCGGCTGTTGTAGTTGTTTTGGGTCTTCTGGGTCAGGGATTGGCCGACACAGATAAATGTGATAGTAGTAACTGTGCTATTGAAAATAACTGCAGGTGTTCCACAGCAGAAAATCCTATTGACGTTAGTGAGGCACCTCAAGTAAGTAATATTGATAAAAAAAGAAAAAAATCTAACAGACTAAAATATAAAATATTAAAAAAGACTTGATTCGGAATGGCTAAAAGAAAAATATTATTATTGTTAGTTTTAATATACTAAATAATATATTCTATATATGGTATTATACCATACAATCGATAAAAAAACGGCGTCAGAGAGGGCTGGTGAATGACAATCAAAATTTCGAAAACAAATCGAAAATTCAAACAAATATTTGTTCAAAGTTTCTTCCATAAGTACTCCATGCTAACTAAATTCTTCTGTTGATTTCTGGTAGTAGAGATCCCGAGCTATGTATTAGTTATTTTTATCCAATATTTGTGATGAAATAAGACCGGCAAAAATAAAAGTTTAAAGAAACCCGAAAATAATTTGAATTTAAATTTTTAAATATTTTGATCATATTTTGATCAGGACTCAGTATTATATTTTTAAATGCATTTAACTTAATATATAATATAAATGCATGATTTTTAATATGAAACAAGGATATTTTCTATCACTAATGAGCAACAAACGAAAAATAAAAAATATCACTAGTATTAGAAGATAAGACGATTTTAAAACTGTATATAATGTAATCTCAAGATTAATATGAACTAAGTACTATTTAAAACAGATAAAATTAGAGTTAAAATCAAATAAACTTAATTTTAAATCAACAACTAAATAAGTATATGAAATGATGGATCGAAATAACAAAATAAAGAAAGGATTTTTTTTTTAAATCCATGGTTTATAACCGTATATAGGGTGGTATAGATACACACCATATATTTAGAGATAAAAATTACACCCTTTAAACTCGAAACATCTAAAAGCGTCTTTTTTTAAGGTTCTGTACCCAAAGGGTAAAAACGGGAACCCTATTTAAGACGTTGCTGTTCGTCCGTCTGTCATCTTATGAACCGTTATAGCTAGACAGTTGAAATTTTTACAGATAATGTATCTATGTTGCCGCTATAAGAACAAAAATTAAAAACAGAATTAAATAAATGTTTATAAATAAAAAAGTACTTTCACTAAATATCATCTTTTAAGTAAGAATTTTACATAGAATCTTTCAAGTCCTCGGTGGCCTCGTGGTTAAGGTAGGACTTTAGGCTGCTATGACGTTGGAGTCGTAGTAAGGCAGGTTCGAATCCTAGTCAAGGCGACTCTTTTTAATCGTTTTTTTTTAATTTTTACATATTTTTATATATTTATTTTTACTTTTTACATATTTATTATTGATTAATACAATTTTTAGTAATGTGTTTCTTTATTTTTTTTAAATTACTTATACGCGCATTCAAAATTTCAGCTAAATCGAAAAAAAAGTTTATAATAATAATATAGTGTCTAATGTTGTATAGATAATGAGTACCATTCATTGCGGAACCCTTCGTGCGCGAGTCCGACTCGCACAATTTTTTAAATATTAATATTTCATCAATCTTTCACAAAAAAACTAACCACAGACTCAGTACTATTTTTTTTCTTATAGCTAGTCGTATTGGCTTTTGTCGAAGCATTGACAAGTGAGCTGTACACAAGCAGATGGTCGGTACTGTTGGAATCCAGGAAGAATCCAGATGACAGTTACATCGGCGCTACCTTCTATGTACCACACGAATACACTGACTACCAGAGGGTTCAAGACTTGGCAGCTATCGGCTTTGAAGTCGGAGTTCACTCCATCAGGTGAGTACTCAAGATTTTTACACAACCCGTGCAAAAATCTAAGATTGGCACAATAAGTGTGAAGATACTGTAGATATCAAATTCGAACTATAGACTATAGAAAATATATAAATATATTCGAGAAAAATATATTTATATAAAATATATTCGAGAAAAATAGTGTGTAGTTCGTGAACGAACTAGTTCCAATAAACTATCCGACCCCGGAATGAAAGGAATTAGTTCCTGGATTCTCAAACAACTAGTTCCTCAGGACCTATTCCGGGATCGAGACAGTGACCGACATAGAATAATATGTGACGGCGACGGATCGGCTAGCGCGCGTAGCCCGATGGTAGGCAGGAGTGGGGAGTGCCAGTTATCGGATTCGGACCTAGAGGAACTAAACTAAATAAAAGATTAGTTCTTATATCACAACATTGTTCCCTAAAGCTCAGTCAAATAGTTGGGATATATTACAGTTGAGGGTTGGAACCTTTGGGGTTACACAGCAAAATAAAAACACTAAATCACCACAATACACCAAAACACTTTTACTTTTACACTGGACGCGCGTTTCGCTAACCATGTTTTTAAGTGTTTTGGTGTATTGTGGTGATTTAGTGTTTTTATTTTACAGTTGGGATATACCAAAAAAAAAATACCGGATGATGTAATATGGTTTACTGAAGAAGAGGTGCGTTCTGCAGCAAGTAAACTGAAAAACAAAAAAGCTCCTGGCCCGGACTACAAACCGATGGAAGTTATCAAAATTGCTGCTATTCAAGACCCTCAGAGAATCACTGAGATCCTGAACAAGTGTCTTATCGACAGTTTCCAAATTCGTGCAAAATTGCCAAACTTGTTCTAGCAGACAAACCCAATAAAGATGGAAGTCAAGACAAAAAATATAGTCCAATATGTTTAATTAATGCAAGCGCCAAACTGTTAGAATGTCTTCTGAGGGATAGACTGGAGAAAGAACTGGAGGAAGGAAACAGACTACGCCCAAACCAATACGGGTTCGGCAGAGACAATTCTACGATAGACACGTTAAACATTGTTACGAGTAACGTAGACCGTATTGAAACGAAATCGTATAAGAACAGGGGATACGCGGCACTGCTTACATTAGACATTAAAAACGCATTCAATTCTGCCCCATGGACAGAAATTATTGAACAATTAGGGAGCATGAAGATCAGTAAATACTTCATCGTTATGATTAAGTCTTTCTTGTCAAAAAGATATGTAATTGCAGAAAACGGCAAAAAACACAAGATAACGTGCGGGGTACCGCAGGGGCCCATTCTAGGACCGACCTTGTGGAACATCTTCTATGACTAGATCCTGAGGGTCGATATTGGACCCAGGTAATCTACTGATTGCTAATGCGGATGATCTGGCTGTCCTGATTACCGCTCCGACCATCACTATCTTCGAAGAAAATATACAAACAGCTGCCCTAACTATAACCAATAAGTTGGATAGAATGGACATACATCTGGCATCAGAAAAATCAGAACTAGTCGTTCTGGTAGGACATCGCAAGACGACGAACTTAAATATCCAATTGGGAAATTGCCACATCAGACCTCAAAAGGCAATAAAATATATGGGCGTTTAGCTTGATTCGGGGATGTGCATGACTACACATGTCCTTAAAATCGGGGACAGGACGGTTGATACCATCAAACAGCTGACCAGAATCACTCCCAATATTAGACGCCCCAGTGACGGAAAGAGGAGAATGCTTGCCTCGGTTGTGCATTCGATGATCCTATACGCCTCGCCCATTTGGAGCAGGACAACAGTCTATAAATACTATGAAAAAGTCCTCGAGAAAATTAACAGAATGCTAGCCCTACGCGTAGTGTCGGCGTATCGTACAGTTTCCACAGAAGCTGTTCTCGCTCTAGCAAAAATCCCCCCAATTATCCTACAAATCGAGGAAAGAAATTTAATATACAGGCACGGTTCAGGGTATCGATCAGGGACCAGAAAGATAATACTGGACAAATGGCAGAACAGATGGGAGGCATACCAGGGTCGAATTAAGATATTTATCCCGGACGTGAGGGTTTGGATAAACAACATGTGGACGAAAACGGACTATTACATCACCCAGGCGATGACAGGGCACGGTGCTTTTGGAGAGAACCTGTTTAAAATAACTAAGGCGGAATCCACAAAATGCTGGTATTGTGAAGCATCAGACACGGCCAATCACACATTATTCGAGTGTTGTAGGTATTTGGAGACTAGAGCATCGGCGGAACAAATATGCAAGGTTAAAATGGAAAATAGAGAGAACTGTGAAGCAATCACCAGGATGATGAGAGCCATCATGCTTAAAAAACAGGAAGATGAAAAGATAAAAATTTGGCAGACACAGACATAAGTGGCGAAACAATCTCCAGTCTTGCAGTAATGCCGCAAGGCGGTTCCGAGATTGGAGAGGTAACTCTAAAGATGGGTTTTTAGTGGGTATGACTCGGGTGAGAGGTGACCCCCACACTCTGGCGGTAAATGGCGTTTCCCATCTATAAAAATAAAAATAAAAAAAAATAGTTTACGTACGAACGGATCGGGCCAGCGCGATCGATGCTAGGCAGGAGTGGGGAGTGCCAGCCGTATGCCGTATGTTATCGGATCCGGAACTAAAGGAACTAGAGGAACTAAATAAAAGACTAGTTTACGTATGCATCAGCCAGCGCGATTGATGCTAGGCAGGCGTGGGGAGTGCCAGCCGTATGTTATCGGATCCGGACATAGAGGAACTATTAAAAGACTAGTTCACGGGAATCTATTCAGTCGGCAGATCCGAGATATAATACAAGGCGACGACGATGGATTCGGCCTTGTCTATTGCCACAGCCGGCGTAGTCACCACAGAAAATTGTCGTGGATACTGTTTTTGATTTTTAGCTTGCTTTTTAAGTCTAGTTTGGTTTTCTTTATGGGGGTATGTTAAAGACAGTGTTTAAAAAACTCGACCAGCTATTGTCGACAACGTGAGAGTATTAATAATAATTATTGTAGCTGTTTTTTGAGGTAGAACTCCACATATGCCTTTTATAATGAAAATATCCTTTTGAAAAGACAATTATTTTATGCAGTTAACAGGAAAGGAAGCATTTTGAACATTTGATTTCATCTTGCTAATTTTTGTCACATAATTATAGGTTTATATCTAGTTTTAATTGTGTAATAAGCAAAATATGTTTTAACCGTTTATCTTTTTGTTACCGTTGAGTATTTACTCTACAATCTTTAATTTTTGTTAAATTAACAAAAGGTATATCCAGCCACCTAGATTTTTTCAATTAATAAAGATCTAGGTACTGACGCAAAATCATAAAAATTACAATATCTAGGAAAATCTTTGTTTGAGGGGTAGGCAACCTTAATAATATTTTGAAGATATATAAATTCCCAATTGAACACCGGAATAATATACTGGGTGTTCCATATAAAATAAAGGAGTAACTTGCTTTTAAAAGTGACTAGAATTTAGAATGAGTGGGAGGGGGGTTAATCACTTCGACCTTACAGATCCATTGCGTCCCCCTTTCTTGAATCATAACTCATCATACAGTCCCAGGGCTTTGACAAAAACCAGTATCTGGGACGGTTTTTTATAGAGGGTAGTTCTCCATCTCCAATATCAGTCGTACCAAAATTCATGACACGAATGGTTGTCGTCTCGGCGCACTCAGAGATGAGGTGTACTGGTGTTTCACCATCTTCCCCACAGAATCTGCATTCGCCGTTTCTTCTTAGTTTCAATCTACTGAGGTGTTCATTGAGGAGACAGTGTCCTGTTAAAAACCCCGTGACAATCCGAAGATTGTTCTTACTCAGACCCAGGAAGATCTGTGATTTTTCTTGATCATAAGCCCTCAGAAACTTCTTCCAGTGTCTTGGACCATTGCAAGATTTCCATTCCAGGTTGCGGATGGAATCTTCCAAGTTCTTGAGTTCCGCCTTGAGTTGGTTACCACTTGGGAAGCAGAACGGTTCTGGTCCAGTTAGTGGAGTGTTCGCTCCTTTCCTAGCTAGATTATTTGCTATTTCATTGCCTTCTATCCCTTGGTGAGCAGGCACCCAGTGTAGGAGAACTTTGTTTTCTTTGCCTAATTTATTCAGCTTCTCTATGCATTCTTTGACCAATTTCGAATTGATTGATACTGAGTTGATCGCTTTTAACGCTGCTTGACTATCAGACAAGGTGGCTATTTCTTGTTTCCGATAGTTCCTATCTAAGATAAGTTGTATGCATCTTTCGATAGCGTAGATTTCTGCCTGTAGGATACTAGGGTAAGTGCCGATTGGTTCGGAGTATTTAGCTCTCGGCCCAAACACTCCGATCCCTGTTCCCGTATTGGTTTTGGAAGCATCAGTATACCAAGTTATGGTATGGTCTTTTAACTGCTGGGCAAGCGTTTCGCTCTTCCAATCCTTTTTATTGCTCAATACTACATGGAGATGTTTCTCAAAGTTGTACGTTCTTAGCATATCGTCCACTGGGAGTTGCAGGAGTGGTATTTCCTTTATGAGGGTGTTCCAAGCCCCTGATCTGACAATTCTCCCAGTACTAATTCCGTTAGTGACCATTCTAATCAATGTCGCATTGGCATATCTACCAATGACAATGTGCAGTGGTGTTAGATCTAGAATGACCTCCATTGCTGCTGTTGGACAGGTTCTCATGGCTCCTGTGATGCAAACGCATGTTAGTCTCTGGACTTTGCATAGGTTTAGCCTTGCCGTCCGTTGCTCTAGTTTTGTGTACCAGGCAACTGCTCCATAAGTAATCATGGGTCTTACTATCATGGTATACATCCAGCGCAAAATGTTAGGGGAGCAGCCCCATCTATTTCCGGCCAGTCTTCTGCATATCATGAGAGCCTTTATGGCTTTGCTGGTAGTGTTCTTAATATGCCTGTTCCACTATAAAAGTGACTAATGTTCCATAGTAATTTTGCAGGGTGAGGACCCTGTATAACTTTTCGGGTCAAATTTCAATTTGGTTTAACATACAATGGTGACTCTAATTAAATATCAGGCTATACAAGGTCAATTAAAATTTAGGTAGCTGTTATAGAAATTAAAAATTTACTCTTCATTTTCACAAAATGTGAAATATTTCAAAATCTTTAGATTTTAGGTATAATATGCTTCTTTAATAAAACTCACCTTTTTTTTCCTAGAATTCGAAATTCCTAGAATATATAGGGTGTTCTATTAGAAAAAAAAACAAAACTTTGAGGTGTAACTTTTTTTGGTTGGGACACCCTGTATAATTCTATATATTTTTATAAAATGCTTTCAGTTAACCTACATATGCTGCCAAAATTTTATTTCGATCTAAACTACCGTTTACCTTGGAGCTTTCGCGGTGCGAGGTATGAGAGGTGCCACCCTGTACATTTGTAATTAAATCTTAAAATATATAAGCCTTTATACAGAACCCTCGGTGTGCGAGTTCGACTCGCACTTATCTGTTTTTTTTATTATGATATACAATTCACAGAATTCAAACGACTAATAACACTGGCAACCCAATTGAACATAGTTCTCTATCAATTTCTAGCAACGACCCTCACCAAGATTACTGGAAGGACGCCAACCAATCTCTGCTCGAACTAGAATTCGGAGGCCAGCGCACAATCATCTCGAAATTCGCCAACATTCCCGAAGAATACATCACCGGCGTCATGACCCCCCAACTGCAACTGTCCGGTGACAATTCCATCAACGCCTTCAAGGCCCAAGGCTTCAGCTACGACAGTTCGTGGCATTCCAAGACTGCCCTCTTCCCATACACCTTGGACTACCTCTCGGGGCAGGTCTGCGATGTGGGCAGCAACTGCCCTACTGAATCTCATCCAGGATTTTGGGAAGCCCCAATCAACGACTTGGCCGGACAAAATAATGCCGTATGCGCTACGGTGGCTGCTTGTTTCAAAAATACTACCGAGTAAGTATGATAATAACTAGGAGTTGGTACCTTTGGTGTTAAGTTACAACAGCAAAATAAAGCACTAAGTGCACGTTCATATTGGCACCGTTTCAGGCGTTACTTTTGTGGTGTTCATATTAAGGTGCGTATTCATTATCCGCACGAACGAACGAACGAACGAACGAATGAAAGTGCGGTATATTTGGACGGGGACCGAACGCATGCGGCCGTTCGTTCGTTCGTTCGCTCGACCATCCGTTTCGAGTCGGTACATCAAAGGCGTTCGCCAACAAATGCCTCCGGTCTTCTCGTGCGGTCCTATCGTGCGGTCCCCGTCCATACCACTAGCGAACATTCGTTCGTTCGTTCGTTCGTTCGTGCGGATAATGAATACGCACCTTTAAATGTTTCCTTCTTTAGATAAACTGGGATTCTATAGTTTTGAATATAATTGAGTTTCTTCCATAAGTACTCCGTGCTAACTTAATTCTTCTGTTGATTTCTTAGAGATCCTGAGCTGTGTATTAGTTGTCCCAAAATATATATATATATATATATATATATATAATATATATATATATATATATATATATATATATATATATATATATATATATTCTTCTACTATTTCCAGTGTTGTGTTATCTATTAGAATATCTTTTCTGTCTACTAGTTCGTTGTACAGAGTAGGTCAAATTCGACGCTTTTAAATGGAGACACCTTTTTCTATAGGAAGTAGACGAAAACTAATATTGGTGTCTGGAGTTCAATTTCCATCAAAAACATGATGGTGAAAACCGCACATCAATATCTGTTACCGTTTCAGAGTTACGGGGTGTTTTTCGAAAATGTGCATTTTTAACAAATCGCTGTAACTTTTTTCCTATTGAAAATTTTGTATTTCTATAAAAACATTTCCAAAGCACCTTTTTACCTAGAACTTAATGGTTTAAGTATATTTTTTTTAAAATTAATAATTTAAGAGTTATCAACAGAAAAATTGATTTTTTATTTGGGACACCTTCTATATTTTTAATTAACTGAAAAGAATTTAAAATTACCTTTCCAAAAATATAGCACACTTGATATTTTGTTATAATCCCCTTCGAAATACAGAATTTTTAAAAGTTCGCCACTTTTAACTAGTAGGCTTTGGACCCTTTATTGATGATATGCCCTTAATGAAACTCGAAAACATATTTTTCCAGCGAGACGACGCACCGCTTCTGGTCGCTGAAGTTATCAGCAAATTTTTGCATCCAATTTCAAGGATAATTGCCAACCAAGATTCCAGCCGTTGGCCGTCGAGGCCGCCTGACTTAGTGCCCATGGATCTAATCCTATCGATATATTTGCGGAAAAATAAAGGTTCCTTATTCTTCCGTATAATCTAGACAAGAATTAGAAATACTTAGCAGTTATGAGAGGGTATCTTTCACCCCCACTGAGTTAATGAATTCCGCGAGAAATGTTCAAAAACTGCCCCGTCTGTCCATAATTGCTCTATCTAGTCAGGAAATAGGTTTTCTCTATTAAAACAGACCAATTTCGACCACCCTGTACAGGATGAGTCAACGATAGAGTAAAATTCATTATCTCATTTGTTTCGAGGCTTACAAAAAAATATTAAATATAAGAGTTATAGGGACGGTTAGGATACACATTTTAAAATTATTATAGAGTATACAGGGTGCTTCAAAAAAGTGTGACGAATATAACATATTTTATGTTTTTTTTAAATGAAATACCCTTTTTTTTATTTTATTTTTAGATTCTGCGTAAAATTCCATAACTTTTCTGTATATAATATTATATACATAAAATTAATAGTTTCTGTAATATTTAAATTTGTTTAAACAAATGTTAGATTGCAATGTGATAAAACATTGTCAGTAATGGCATTGTTTCTGGAGTTGGAAAACCAAAATTTGGTAGGAGAATTTAATAAAGATATAGAAAAAGACCTATGTAAAGATATTTTAGTTAGATGCTACAGAGTGTTCAAAATATATTTATGAATTTCAACTACTTAAAATTAAAAAAGTTCAAATTTTTTAAATGGTACACCCTATATATTATCATTTTTTCTGATAGATTTTTTAAAACTCTTCAACTTTTGTTAAATATGTCATATACCTATTTTTAATAGTTTGCGATTTATTCCAATTTTTTCTATTTTTACCATCATAGTTACCATGGCTAAAAGTAATAATTATCAAAATTTTTTGTCTGTTAAGCAAGTTGAGAACAAAATTTGAATTTTAGTTTAATATGTTGTAATAAGTATAAGTTGTAGGGATAATAGTTACAGATTTTCCTGAAATTAATTAGTCAATGTGACTGATATACACGAACAAGCCAAGAAAAACATATTTTTTGGTTCAGTACTATACACTACTGGCAAAGGAATATTAGCAATAGGAGGTTTTCAATGCGATAAAAAAAGATGGTAAGGCTGCAAAATACACTGCAGTGCAACAGAGACGGATAAAGTGTCTTTTCCCTACCATCGTATAGGGGAAGTGATCATAGAAGTGATACGAGAGAGCCCCTGCGAGAGGGGGCGCCGGGCGGGTCTTTAAGACGCTTGTGTGGGGACTACCGCCTACTAATAGAACAGAATCGAAAAAATAGAAACAGGACGGTCAGTGTTGCCATTCAATTAAATCGAAATTATGTTGGCTTGTCAAAATCCTAAATCTTCTAATCCCATTATCTTGCCTACTTAATGAAATATTAAATAAAGTACGAAACAATTTTACAATGTTTTCTCTAGGCACATAACTTCTTTCTAAAACGAAAAGTAACATGCAAAACTTTGATATCATTTCTAAAATAGCAAGTGCAATTCTATGAAATGGCAATACTGTACGATCTTCCTAGCAGTCGCCCCGACACAGTCGGTCGGCGGCGGCGCTTCACAAAGCCGCGGCTGTGACAAAGGAATTAGGCCGAAAAAAACTTTATAAGGAGTAGACGAACAGGGTTGCCGGGTTTGTTAGATTATAATTCCATACGAGAACAAAATTCTCGGTAGATCTTCAACAAAAATTAAAAGTACAGAAACGAAATAAAATATAATATTTAAGTCCAAAATTAGCATTCCTATGTGTCGTAATAATAGATCACTCAAATAAAATACAAATATAATAAATATAACAAGAATTAGAAATAGCTAGGTATATTATTTAATATTAAAAAAAATATTGAATTAAATAATATTAATATATTAATAAAAACATATAAAACTATAACAAGTAGGGATAGCAGTCACAAATTAGTGTAGCAGTCACTTTTTACCTTTGTACAAATTTTGATCAGTGATATCTAAAATTAATTTCATTTCAATGGGAAAGCTGTAGCAACTCTCAACTCTTTTTCATATTAATATATTTTTTTGACGGAAAAATCACTAAAATATTTGTCCGAATTTAGGTTGTTTCTTAACTTAAATTTTTTTTTGTTTACATTTTTGGGGAAAATATGGGTTCAACTTTAGTAGATGAATGAAATAAAATCTTTTCAAAAGATATCAACTTCTTCGGGCATGTCGCCAATACCGCGCCTAATAAGGAGTAATAAGGATTTTTAGGAATATCTCTGTAACTCTGCAACTAGACAGAACGATGACCTGTATGTGTGTTATTACTAAATAAAATTTAATGAAACAATAATAAAGTCAGATTATACAGATTCCAACGCGGCAGTCGCTTAATTTTTAGTCAAATAAGTCAGCTTTTTAAAAGTGCTTCTAATGTAAAAACTAAAGACGCAGTTGAATATATCGTTAGATTTTTCTTTAAATCGGTAGATCGCTAGCTTACAGACGAAACCGGTAGACCTGGCAACTCTGTGATGAACTGACGGGAGTCGTCATAGCGAGGTGTGGAGGCGCGGGAAGGGAAATAAAATAATGGCGATAAATAAAGGGCAGGGAGATGGGTATCATGAGTGGATGGGAGGTGGCGGAATTTCCAAAATTTGTTATCTTATTGGAGTTTGTCTAAGTAGACAGTCGTAGTGGAAGTGGAAACGGGGAAGTTGTTGTCCATCTCTGTTTAAGCATAGACTTTTTATAGGCGTTTCATTCCAATGCATGTAATTCCTATGCCTAGAGATCCATTGCCGGGCCTGTATATTATATAGTGCTTTGCTAAGTAGTATAAGAATAGATGTAGATTATCTAGAAAATATCTTCAGTGTGTAATGGGACGGTTTCACGTCAGTAGTAATATTGGCTTTACCAAATGAATTATAAACCAGAATTACTACGAGAAAAAAACTTTGCTGTATGTCGAAAAAAATTTCTATATAAGTAGTCTTCAAAAATTAGATAATCTAGTGTTACCTTAATCTGTGGCTATTCGCCCCGACCCGACGCGCGTCAATCCAAGTGTCCTTTTTCATAATATGGAAATACACCAAGAAATTCACGACTGCGATGTTTGTTTATTTGAGTAAAGTTAATTAATTTTAACTAATACCAGCAATTGTAACTAATTATTAAGCAACTTGTTAAAGATAAGTAATAAATAGTTTGTTTTGTCATGGCAATTATAATTTTATAGAGTAATTGTATTAAAAATATGGGTAAAAACAGAAAAAATTAGAATAAATCGCAAACTATTAAAAATAGGTATATGACATACTTAATAAAAGTTGAAGAGTTTTGTAAAATCTATCAGAAAAAATGATAATATATAGGGTGTCCCATTTAAAAAATTTTAGATTTTTTAATTTTAAGTAGTTGAAATTCATAAATATATATTGAACACTCTGTATCATTTAACTAAAATATCTTTACATATATATTTTTTTTCATCTCTATAAAACTCTCCTACCAAATTTTGGTACTCCAACTTCAGAAACAATGGCACCACTGACAATTTTTACCACACTGCAATTTAACTTTTTTTTAAACAAATTGAAATATTACAAAAACTATTAATTTTACGTATATAATATTATATATAAAAAAGCTATGAAATTTTACGCAGAATCTAAAAATAAAATAAAAAATAGGGTGTTGCATTTAAAAAAACATATGTTATATCCGCCACACTTTTTTGAAGCACCTTGTATAATCTATAATAATTTTAAAATGTGTATCTTAACCTTCCCTACAACTTTTATATTTAACATTTTTTTGTAAACCTCGAAACAAATGAGGTAATGGACTTTATCCTTGACTCACCCTGTACATTCCAACTTTTCTATAGTTTTTTTTTTCTATAGTTGCAAAATGAAACATCTTTCAAAACGTCAAAGAATCTTTTAGATAGGTCATTATGAAAAGCGTCACTCTTGTGTCACTCTACATGTCAAAATTAGAAAAAGGATGACCACTTTTATTTTGAGTGTTCCAAACTCCTTATGTTTATACCGATATAAACATAATAAACCTTCAAGTCAATCCTAGTTTTTTCTGAGATTGACTTGAGTAAAGTTCTTTTGTGAAATAAACGGTTGCATACCTATTAGGATTGAAATTTTAACCTGTTTAAACGAACTATATGTAACTTCAACTACATTATATTTTTAGCTTGACTAAACAAGAAGTTTCCGACTTCGTATACCAACAAGTTGAAAAACAGAGAAACAAGAAAAAGGCTCCAGTAACCCTCATCATTGAATCGACATGGTTCGACCAAGTAGAAACCTCTTGGGACGGATTGGTTGACGCTTTGGACAGATTGGAGGCATTGGATGACGTTTTCTTTGTCACTCAAGCCCGTGTAAGTTTGTGTTTAACAGCGGATTCTCAACTTTTACTCTTTGTGAACTAGTCTGGCTGATTCAGTGTTACTTAAAAGCAAGAAAATGCATTTTAAGCCTGCTTCATCTATACAGGTAGTTAATTTGTTTATTACTCGCAGCAAGAGCTTTATGGTTGAAAAATTGCAACGACGCGACGGGACGAGTCGGCAGAAATCCCTATAAGTGCATGCGTTCTCAATAGTCAGTGTTGCCCATTCTGTTCCCCTATAAGTAACTGTCCAGTTAACAATCTGTATAACCGTAAAGGAGCTATCAGCACAATAGAGTTCTATACAGGGTGTTCTATACAAAAAACATGTGCCATCTGTCGTAGCGAGATTCCTGACGTAAAAATAAGATTTATTTTTCATATCAATATAGGTCCAATTCTGCTTTGTTTCGTAGGTAAAGGGCGTTAAAATCTTAATATTTTTTCTATTTATTATTATTTTCTTCCATGTACTTTCAGCATTTCGAATGAAATTTTGAGGGTAAAAGTTACTAGAAATGCGACATATTTTAAAGCTAAAAAAGTGTCGACATATTCACCAGGGACGTGCATATAGGTTATCACTGGAATATTTTTCTAAAAAAATCATGTACGCCACTGATTTGTTTTTCTCTTGTTAGCGAAATAATGTAAGAAGTTTATTGCCGATTAAAAGTTGTTTCGTGAAATTTTGTCGATTTCGACCTCATTGATGAGATAAACGCAATTATATTAATTTGCCTTGATCCAAGTCTAACAACGACCATTAAAAAAATTTAATATCATTAACTTGCGAAAGTTTTCAATAAGTACTCACTGATACTTGCTCAAAAAATATGAAAAAAAAGTTCCTATAAACATACTCATATTGTAGGGAATGCATAATTTTAGTAATTTTTTAAAATTAGATTTTTTCTGATTATCTTAAATATCATTATTTGTTTATTTAAAATTGCTGTCGGTTGGACTAATAGTAATAATAATTAATAGTAATTTTTGCAATTTCAACATGGTGAATGTCATAACTGTACTGGGGTACTCAAAATTTCATTCGAACCATTAAAACTACTTGGAAGAAAATTATAATAAATCGAAAGATTATTAAGACTTTAGCACCCTGTAGCTGCGAAACCAAGCAGAATCGGACCCATGTTGATATAAAAGAAAAAAAGTCAAGGCGTACATGTTTTTTTTTTGAAAAATATTCCAGTGATAACCCATATGCACGTCCCTGATGAATTTATCGAAATTTTTTAGCACTAAAATATGTATCACTTACAGTAACTTTTACCCTCAAAATTTCATTCGAACCACTAAAACTACTCGGAAGAAAATTATAATAAATCGAAAGATTATTAAGACTTTAGCACCCTGTAGCTGCGAAACAAAGCAGAATCGGAACCATATTAATATAAAAAATAAATCATATTTTTACGTGAGGAATCTCCCCACGAGAGATGGCACATGATTTTCGAAAAATCCTGTATGAAGATTTTAGCTAACTGTTTTTAAACGAACTAATATTAATTTAATGTATTTTTACAAATAGGTAATCGAATGGCTCAAAGACCCTCAGCCTATTTCGAATTTCACCACAAATCTCAAAGAGGTGACTGCCGGATGCTCTCAGTACAGTTGTACACTGACAAAACCTGACGGAACTACTAGATACATGAACTCCTGCATACCTTGTCCTAAAACCTACCCATGGTTGGGCAACCCTGAAGGCAACTAAACGACGAAATGAATTTATGAATTTTGAATATAATCTAATTGAAAATATACTTATATTATTGAATATGTAGTTTTTTTTTGATCCCATGCCGTTATGAAGGCAGTATTCCGTTGCAAAACCAGGTGAACCAGACCGGTTAACTACGGTAAAGAGCAGTTCCTGAAAAACATCGGTTTGATACGGAACGGTTTGGTAAAATATTGAAAACGTCAAATGTTGACGTTTTCTAAATTTCAATACCTCTATTATAAAGTTTATCTTTTATGCATTTTTAATGTACCTATTCTCTGCTTTACGTTTGCTTCTTCTTTTCAATGGAGTTTAATATTGAAAAGTACTTTATTAATAAACTGTTAAACTCGTTAGACAGCTCAAGTGAAGATTTGCAGGTCCAATATTAAAACAGATCAATAATAAATAAACAAATATAATCAATATTTATATTTTTATAGCTTACAAAACATCCACGATTACTTGTTGTCTTGTTTTTCATGTTTTCTTTAAATGTGCCTGATTTTAAGAAACAATGGCTGCATGATAAGTTTAAATGGTCCTAAAAAGTCATTCTATTTAGTTAATGAAATTTATTTACCTTTACTGCCTACCTCCCTTGCTTTTGGATATAAATACAAAATATTATTACAAATTTTAGAAATTAAATGAGAATTTCACTCGAACTTCCAATATTTTCTTGATTTCTGTCACATTAAATGACATTGATTGACAAACAAAACCAGAAAAACCAGCCTTCTCGCGCTGGTTAGTTTGGTCACAGTTATAACCGAATTTTTCAGGAACCGTGTTCCGTAATAAGAAAACTTTCAGTAAACCGATAGAACGGAACATTAAACCATAACCAAGGTAAGCAACTATATAATTGTCAGGTTGTTATATTATCTATATTAAATATTAAAAAATGAAAATCAAAAACACAGATCACCCCACAGTCAATCCGTTGGCCAAAAATTAGCTTTAAACGTCAAGCAGTTTAAGCAGAATCGTGATTACTCAATGGTCATATTTTATATGACTTATATTCAGAGATTCAGGGGTAACAAAAGTAAAATATACCAATTCGACGAATTCAAGACCCTGTAGTTCAGAAACGAAATGGGCTATGAAAATTTTGTTGACAGTTGACAGCATCTTCCGTTTGACAAAAAAGTGGGACAGGTTTGTGCAAACCGCATCCTCCTATCTTTACTAATAACGGAGATACCGTATGATTTCAATCAAAATGGAACACCCTGTACAATGACTAGTAGAGAACACCACAATGGGCTAAATAAACAAAAATAAATAATTTAATTTTAACTCTTTAAGTTAAAATTATATCACTATGCATGTTTTAATTTTTAATTAATATTAAACATAAAATATAATCAATAAGAATATACTAGTACTCTGATAACTCTACTAAAATATTATTTCTTGGTGTTTTGGCGAAGGTAAAATTCAAATTCTATTTTTTTTTTAGTTTGCAAGACGTTAGATTTTTTTCTACCAATAAAGACAAAAATCTCTCATAGTTTCAGTAAATGTATTCCAAAATAAAACTCTATTTAACACACAGATATGTAATTAATTATCTCTAAATAGTCAGTAGCGTAAATACAATGATTAGACATTTCTATAAAGTATCTTCGTATAATTGCAGTAGAGGACAGCACGGTGATCTAAACTAAAACAAATAATTTATTTTAAACTTTATTCAAGTTAAAATTATAATAATATGCATGTCTTTATTTTTAGATATATTTATATCAAAAACATACCTACTTATTAATTAGAATAATACAAATAATAATTATAAATATATTTTCTTGATGTTATGGCGAAGGTAAAAATAAAATTTGAAGTCTTCCCTTATTAGACGTTAGTTTATTTGTATCAATAGAACAGAAAGCTCTACTAGTTTCAGTAAATTTATTCGAAAATATTCTATTAAAATAAAACCACGATATTATCTATGATAAAACTTTTTTGTTTATACACAGCTATGTAATTATCGCTAAATAGTCAGCAATGTAAACTGTAATGCTTAAATATGTCTGTAAGGTATTTTATTATGATGACTAGTAGAGGGCACCACAGTAATCTAAGTATAATAAATGACTTTCCTATTTTAAATTTTTGAAACGAATATATTCAAATAAAATATGAACAGTTCCAATAACTGTAAATATATTTTCTTGATTTTTTGGCGAAGGTAAAATTTAAATTTTTTAGTTTTTAGTTTGTTAAACCCTTGTGAAACGTTAGATTTTTTCTATCAAAAGATAGAGGACTCTCCTAATAGTAAATATTTAATAAAAATTTTTTGGAATTTTTAAAAAATTTTAAACTATTTTATAACAATTCCATTACATTTTTTTACATAAGAAATAAAATATAATTTTCTAATAATTTATCTTACTTTTTATTTCGTTAAGTAGTTTTTATTGCCAAAATCGAAATTATTCAATCATTGAAAATTCTATAAAGAACTAAAAATAAATTTTGTATTTTATTGTAATAAATGGATAACATTTTTTTCGGCCACCCTATACAGGGTATTCCAGGAATAAGTTCAAGTATTTTAACTTAGTATAGTCCGACCCCAGAAACTCGCCAATAAGGTTTTTTTGCGAAAACAAAAATGTTGAAAATTTTATATTTTTGTTGAAATTTTTCGAAAAATATTGAAAAACTTTTGGGTGCCGCTTGTTCAGTTACCGAAAATTTGTTTCTAGTACTTCGATAGAATGCACTGTTGTCACCTCCTACATTATCCACAACATTCTGTATGTTTATAAGTTATAAATTCGCATATTTAAATTTCTATTTATTTATTTATTTATTTACTGTAGGTTTTTTAATCATTGAACATTACTATTAAGTATAGTGCAACAACGTTATTATCATTTATTTTAAAAATGGCAAAGAGAAAATATGTTTCTTTCGGCTAGATTTACCATCCCTTAAAATACATAGCACTAATTTCTGGGACACCCTGTATATTTACTATTAAAATAAACGGGATAAGGAACGAACATTAAGGGACATAAAAAACAACAAAACGGTCTATTTTATAGCATAAATATTTAATTTTCATATACTTATTATAAAATCTATTAGGATAAATAATAATAATAATAATAATAGCATATATTACATAAATAATATTTTACACACTATCATACAAAAAATTGTTATATACATAAAAATACACTACTTACAAAAAAATGTTTTTCTACTAGTACAGACTAAAACTAGCTTGACATTTTTATTTTTTCAGTTTTCTTTCTCAGCTAACAATCAACATAAAAAAATATATATTCTTTTTTGAAAAAATCAAAAATATATTTCCTTTAAAAGCATACTAGTGTTTTTAACCAACTCTTTACACATACATACAACGAATTAATTATAAATTAGTAGAGGAAAAATACATTTAGTTTAAGGAACAATTATTTGAAATAATAAACGTAATATAAAAATAAGTACTTAAAATAAGTCAATATTTTCTTTCTGTCACTGGCCGAGTCAACTGCCCTGCGAAAAGCGTTTGTTTCAAAAAATAGCTTTTATAAATAAATTAATTAAAAAAACACTAACTAAAACTAATAAAAAAAGGAAGTACATATAAATATATTATGGAATGTAATAGTATCTTACCCTGTTCTTATATTATTATATAAGTTATTTATTTTTTTACCTAACTTCTAAAAGTTATATTTCAGACACTGGGTGTCTGAATAAGAACCTGTTTATGCATACTTCTTTTTTACAAGGTTTTTTTAAAGCTAAAGTTAGACAGACAACAGTTATTCCATCTCAAATTATTATTTTTTCAGCCTTATTATATTTCACTCAAATTTCAATTTCTCTAGATTTAAAAAAGTTCCACTGTGTAAACCACACAGTTAAAATATGAGTAAACCTCAACATTTTTTTTATCACACAAATGATTGTATATAAAAAGAAATCTATAACTAAATTATATTACATAATATATTATTTACTGTTTACAATAAACGTGTAATTTTTACTTAAGTACAAGTCAACAAGTACAAACTATTTCTTTTTAATTATGCAGCACCCTGTATATTAGCTGTAATTTTTCGAAAATTCGAGCACCTTTTTAGTTTTGTCATAATTACAGAGATATAAAGATTCTTCTATACAAGATGGTGCATAATAAGATCGGAAATCTAAAAAACAAGTTAGTAGAAAACCCGAAATATTTACAGAATATTTTAGGTTATGTCGTTTTTATGTATAACATTACAAAAATATAACGTTTTTTATTTTTCATTACATTAACGTTTTTTTATGAATAAATTATTGTCATTTTATATAAAAATAAATAATGTTTGAGAATAGTAACCTTATTTCTTTCAGGTTTAAGCTACAATATACAATATTAAAATATTTCAGTTAATAATATAATTGCTAAGCTTTGACAGCTTTGACATAAGAGGTAAGTCATATATTTGTAGCAATTCTAGTTCTTTTCTTAAATTATCCATTAAAAAGATATGATAATATATACAGGGTTATTCTTGATAAGTGTCTCATTAGACGTTTATTGAGAAATCATAGTAAGGAAAAACGAAAAAATTCTAATATTTTAGTTGTTTATATAAAGTAATATGACCTTTCAATAAAAATATATTTTTGGTTGTGGTGACTAATATCTATCAATTTTCGTTTTTTTTTTAATTATATACCCTATACTATAGGGTATATAATGACACTTTTCGTGGCAAGGCTTGACAATAGTTGTTTGACAATACAGACGAGGCACAAAAAGTCTTTTTTATTCCGAATAGAACATGGTATTTTCTCAAACGTCATAGAAATATTTAAAAGTAATACCTTGTAAGTAATTATATATCGAGAAACTATGGTTATGCTCGTTGAATTTGACACTTTATGTCAGTTTAATAATATATTTTCGTACTTTAGTGCTTAGGCGTAAAAGTGCTCCACTTATATGCCTAGGCGTTAAAATGACGTCGCATTATCAATGACGTCGCAAAAATTGATACTTTAGTGACGTTTGAAAAAAAAAACTATATTATTTCATCTTAAAAAACTATTTATGTGTCTATAAAAGTTTCTTATAAACTCTTATTATACTATAATTTAATTTCTTAGTATGACACAGCCTATGTATGTCTGCAACCATTTTTAAAATAGGGACAGTTGAAGTGGAGTATCAGACTTCATATTCAATTTTTTAATATTAAATTGACGATAATGTCTGTGTCCAAATAAGAAAAATAAATTTAAGTCACAGATTAACACAGATTTATCAGCAAGAGGGAGAAACTATATAAAACAAGGATACACTCGGTCCCTTTAAATACACTACAGCAACAAAAAAGCTGTGCCAGAGATTAAGTATTATTTAAATAAAAAGGCAACAATGCATTCCAGAAAAAAAACGGAGTCTGACAACGCCATAGCCCTATTAAAGGTCGGAGGTCACGGCGGCGTTTATCAGCAAAATGAAATAAGTGCCACATCTGTAAGTTAATCTGTATTTAAGTCGTGTTAAGGAGACAATAGTCTACAGACTGTAAATGATTTATTTTCTGTAAATTTTCCAAAGAGGCATCATCATTTTTTAAATTTATATAGGTATATTCCTTTACATAAACAACCCAAACTTAAACACTTACTGTGAATACCCTACATAATCATTATAAACTTGCTGTATTTTGCTACTCATTTTTTTTACTGCATCTTTAACAACCACCACAAACTAGCTGTGCAAACGGGAAGGAATCAAGTATGTTGCTGCTGAATAGAGTACTTTTGCGTACCAGTGTACTCCCACATCAGGCTGCTTCTTGCTTATTTCATCAGCTGCATTCCTTTTCCATCCCTCCAAGGGCTTGTTGAGGAGAGTCCAAACCCTATACAGCCCAAGCTTAACGTTCCAAACCAGCCTTAAAGGCATGAACGCGTAGTGTGCAATGTCCTGACTGTCCACTGTGGCGTAGCACGATGCCACAATCCCGTTCACAACAACTGTCCCGGCACGCGTTAAAGGCGCGTACACACCCCTACGGTACACCCTCGTTATATTTATTATTATGTCTTCATTTAATGTTTCTACACTATCACTAACTAACAATTTCTGGTTCACGACCAGCGTTTCGGCGAAAACCGTCCTACCGTCAGTCAGACTGACAAGGTGATTGGGCGTCACTGTCAAAGTCCGCCCTGATTTTAGGGTGATGTGGAGGAACTGTCTGTTTTGCGTGGGGTCGTAGTCTAGAAAGAGGAGCACTTCACTAAACACTAGTTTTTTGGTGGACGGATCTGTGGCAAGGATGCTTTCGCCTACACGGAGTTGAGATAGAGGGCGCTGGACGCCTGTTGAGGTTAGGACGGTGGATTCCCCGGTGAAACAGCCGCCATATTTGGCCGCTTGGGAGGATTCTGAAACAATAAAAAATCAAAATTAGATTGTAATTTTACGATATTTTCTTAAACGAAATATCTTGTTAATTTTTTTTGAAGTGAAACTTCTTGAAGTGCACAGAACACACTAAAGAAGAACGCTAACTCCCATGCATTTTTTAGTTTCAAAACGGTTTCAAATTTGTAAAGAAATCTGTAATCTGTATACTGAAGTGGCGCCATCTAGCCACCCAGGAAAGTAACAAAGGTGGCGGCAAATTTAAATAGATGAAATTTATTTTTAAGCAAGACGTATTGACTTGTTCGCCAGTTAGAGCCAATCAGATTTCTACAAAATAATGTGTAGTCATCTGATTGGTCCCAAGTTGGCAAACAAGTCAAATGGTAAAAAACAAGGATTTATATATAAAGGTTAAACCAGGTTAAACTATTGTAAAGTGTTAAATGGTTTGCTTATATCATTTTATGTGCATAAAAACCTACAATAAATAATTTATTTTAATTTACAGAAAATTATACCATGAAACATTTTACAAACAAATAAAACAACAGATTAAAAAGTATAATATTTATTATAGTACCAGGATTAATCGTTGGAATACAAGAGAAAGTGACGTCCATTAGAAACAATGTTTTATTTACGTGTATTTTTTACATATGGACTTGAACAATTGTGTAATATCACATTGTGGAGTTTATGTACAAAGATATGGAGTTGATCAATTTTTTTTTGTAAAAATATATGGCGTTGTAAATATTTACATTGTTAAAAAATAAAATTCACGAATATTTGGACTTGGTTAGGTTACCTCACCTCACTTTCTCGGATTATTAAGTAAAATTGTTCGATAAATCAAAGACCTTTAACTTAGACCTTACCTTTAATAAAGATCTTAAAATCAAACACAAAACAAAGTTAAAAAAATTCAAAAAATACAAAATCACGATTGTAAAATGAAGATTGCAAAAAACACAGCCAAACAACCAGAAAACAGCGAAACGCACATCCGCGTTCAATGGCAAAACACAACTGAAGAGGAAGGAGGAAGCCGGAAACAGAACAATGACAGAACATAATTAATAGGCCTATTTAGGCAACTATAAAAACAATTTTGTACGCAATTGTTAGGCAACTAGAAAAATTAAAATAAAAATACGCCATCTAGCGCCCCAGGAAATTACTACCCCAAAAAAAGATAGTTCAAGGTCGTATATCTCAGTCAAATACATTTAAATTTACATATACCGCGGCCTCCCCATAAGAGCAATGAGAGAATTTATGTCCCAGGATTGAAGGACAGAAGATCGAGTTTGACATAAGTCCATCCTTGTTCAGTAGCTGGATGTAATGCACATGCGCCGAAATGCTACTTTTCTATTGGCCGAATGGTGTCGAGATGGGTTATCGATTTATTTTTGGACGCGTCGTCGGCGTGGATTTTGTTTTCAGTTTGGACTTGGGCAGTCGCCATTGGTGTCATTAGTGTTTTCTCTAACTTTCTGTGTTTTCCACGTGTACTGTGTTTTCGTTTGTATTTTAATCTCTTTGTGTTTATTGACAATTTTGTGATTTAGTTTTAAAGACTTTTCCTGTAGTTTAATTAATAGAACAATGGGAATGGGCTACTTTATATTTAGTCTTACTATTTTAAAATAAAAAAGACATTATAATGTAAAAGACTAAAAATAGAGACTACATAAGGCTAATTATAATGCTTTACACAGTTACACACAAACTGTCTTATTGTAAATTATTATTGTTTTTTTTCATAATATAAAAGAGTATTTACAATGCAACAATGTAAATAATTATATTTTTTGTATCTAGCTTGATTTATGTATAAACTTAATATGTACATACTTTTAGTTATATTTGTTTAATAAAAAATATGTTAATAATAAAGAATTACTTTTGTTTCATTTTAAACCAGGACTGATGTTGATTATTGATCATAAATACATGGGCAGTAAAAGAAACAATAGACAGTAAAAAATGTACTGTTATACTTTGTTTTGCTGCAATTTTTAAGTCGAGTGAAATAGATATGCAATTTGTAATACTAAGTTCTTAAGACAGTTCCTTAATTGAGGTTTTACTAAATTATTTTTTGAATTTTAAAAAAAGTGAAATAGATATGCAATTTGTACTACGAAGTTTTTAAGACAATTTCTTAATAATTGTGGTTTTACTAAATTATTTTTTGAATTTAAAAAAAAAATATCGTACCTGTCACTTTTTTTCATTCGTTTTATTTAATAATAATTGTCTAACACAACAAAGTCTACTTAGAACGATATGATATAAATATAAATGAGTTCATTAAAAAATGGTCTGATTAAAATTAGTACCTAAATAAGCAAAAATTATCCCCTCATAAAACAAGAAATTAAGGAGTTCAGTAAAAGGATTGCAACTATATATTTTATTCAGTAAATTTTCATAATAGTAAGTATAAAAGCACAATCTCTAAAACGACAATATGAATAATGTATATTAAGATTTAACTCGAGTTTCAGTGAAAAAACTATATTGATATTAAAATATTTTAATACCTTCAGAATACTAATTACATACCATAAAATAGGAGTTTTTACGATGCGGGAAGCCTATCTAGAAAAAGAATTTTAGAAATCAGCAATGGGATTCTGTAAGCTCTGTAGCAAGAAATTTCCTATCGAGCCTATGCTATTTGTATACGATTGATGAGTCACTAGACAGGGAAATGTTTACAGAATCGCACTGCAGATACCTATTACGCTACTAGGAGCCCCCCATTGTGAGACAGATATAAAATAATTTTTATATACCTATTCCATAGCCTATTCTTTTAAATGTCTGTAATATTTATAATAAACTTATTTTACGAGTAGAAGTATTGCACCAGCATCAAAATTAATACTACTTGTAAAAAACTGTTGCTCCTTGAGTTTGTAATAGATATAAACAAAATAAACATTCGAAAATAACTAAATCGAAGATATCTGAAAACTTTTGGTCGAAAAAGTGTTTTGCCATAACATGTTGGATACGATTAAAATATCTCGTTTGATAAATATGCGCATAATGTTACATTATCAAACTTATTTGATTTCAGAATATTTAACAAAAAGCTTCCAATTTTTCGAAAGATTTTAGAGAACGTCTTTAACCTCAACTTAAAATAAATAAAACCAAAACAAAACATATCATATATCATATGATTTGGAACTGTCCAATCAAAGTGCTTACAGATCGAGCAAGCGCAGAAAACCTCCTCCCGAACAAGGATAGACTTATGTAGGAAATGCATTGACATTCTATAGCCATCCTTCAACATCGGGACAGGAATTTAAGCGGTACTCTCCGTATATTTTATTAAAACGTATTTGATCTCAGTTGACTGGCACTGTTGAAGCGACACACGGCCTTGAATGACGCCGTGGCGCGCGAGCTAGCGAGAGGAAAAGTGATAGCGGCAGTGTTGCCACAGCTACCCCATTCGGGATAGATCTAGCCCTTTGTAAAATAATTTAACCCCGTTAACTCGTGATAATCTACCCCGACGAAAAATAAGCTTGTGGCAACACTAGGTAACGATCTGTGCCATACGCGGCTGAGAAAATCACTATAATAAACTTGAAACTATAATAAACTTGAAACTGAATAAGTTTGTAGCTTCTAAATAACGGTCTAGGTAAGCATCTAGCTCATTTGCCAGCTCAGAATTCGAAGAATGATGGTACTATGATGCATATAAAGTGGTACTTTAATATAGTACCATATTACGATACCATTTCCTGGCGTTCGATTGGGCTCAAACTTGGTATACTACGTATCTTCGGTTACATTGTAATATGATTGAACTATGATGTATATAAAGTGGTACCTTAATATAGTACCATATTACGATACCATTTCATGGCGTTCGATTGTTCTTAAATTTGGTATACTACGAATCTTCGGTGACATTGCAATATTATGGTACATTAAAGCATATCGAGTGGTACCATAATATAGTACACTATTATGATATTATTTCCTGGAGTTCGATTGGGTCCAAATTTGGTATACTTGCGTTTCTTTATAAAGATTTGTTTAATTAATAATTTTAATTTATTCTACGAATTTTAATTTATTGTTCGATGTAGTTACAGCAACTTTTATGCCGAACTAATATATTATTAATTGTATCTGTCATTTTTTAAAATCTACCTAGGTCTATATAAATAATGTGGCAAACGGAAGAAATTTGTTATTATAGTATTTTTTAGTTAGTTAACATTTTTTGTACTGCATTTTAATAAATTATTTCCATTATTATTAAACTTATATTTCATTACTAACGTTCCAGCATTAATAAATATTACTATCAATCGCCCTGTATATTATTAATTTTAAAGGTAATTAAAGGTATTTTCTTAGTTAACATTATAAGGTAGTGTATATAAAAAATGTATATGTTTTGTAATAATATACTTAAAACTATTTTAATAGCCAAAGGAATAATTAATATAAGTGTATCTGACAAGAAAAGAAGAATAGAAAGAAACACATACTGCATTAACACAATAAAGAATGGGATGCCAATTCAAGTCTTTTGAATCTGGCAACTGTGCATATTTAGCCGAGCTATAAGGCCGTCGACGAGCCGTCGATCCAAAACCGAAAGTTCAAAATTTCTAATTATATTCTGATTATGATATTGTCGCGCCATCTAGTATTCTATTTGTGCAATTTTAGCTCTTTCATTTCGAGTATTTTTCTGTTGCGTAGCTAGATATTCTGTGGTAGTAGTCAGAGATATAAATACAAAGACCAAAGCAATAAGACTCTAAGTATCGGTCTCAACGTTTAATATGACAAAGTTAAATTGTTACACGTGTTTCGTTCATACGAGCATCATCAGATAAATATACAGATAAGGTCACACCACACACGTTTACATCATACATATTCAAACAATACTATGTTAGCAGTAGTTAGTAGTAACACTAACAACAGCAGTTAGCAGTAGTCAGAGATATAGATGTAGTAGTAT